CTTTGATCTTGCAAGTCATTTTATCGTTTAATCCATGTTTCATGACATTTCTTGCCCACAGTCTTGAATCATAACATTTTCTCTCATTTTAATCAAAAAAGCTTCCGACAAGTCTTTCTTACAGTTGGTTGATGCCATCCCCGTGTACCTTGTTCCAACGTATTTGATGTGACGTCCAGCCATAACATGGTGATCGGCCGTTCCAGAACTTAATGCCATCGTTCGTAATGTTTCTTGACCTGCGGCCGCTCGTCTCCTAAGCCTCTTGTCCTCCAGCCGAAATCTGGTCCCACCAGAGCAGGAATTTACGGCGTGCATTCAAATAAAAGCCTCTCCATCGTTCTTCTAGTCTCCCTCGATGTCAAGTTTCTCTCTATATCATTCATCGCTCAGATGGAAAACGCATGACTCGCTATTGCGTGAAAGGTTTTAATCATCGTCAGGGACCAGATGGCGAGAAGGGTGCTCCTTTCTACCCATTTCCTCGCATCATCCGTCTAACATCATCCGTGTTCTTCGTCTGCAGATAGTACAAGTCCCTAACATGAAACAGCAAATGAACCAACGACTGTAAAACTAATGATTATTTCATATACACATCATTGTAGTTGCGTTTGAAAGCAGCCGAATATCGTCTGCCAGAGCAGTGCTACTGAACTTGACCTACAGAATTTAACACACTGAGTGCAATCGAGGTATGTAGTTGTAATCCAACATTTAAAGGCAATTAAATGAGTCGCACCTTTGCACATTAGCACTTCCACATCCCATCTGGGACCTCTTTCTCACAAGAGACTAAACGTAAATTCAATGCATAGCTGCAGATATTGTCGTCACAATGCAGGGCATTTCAGATGTATTGCAGCGTTAAAGATTTGAAGCAAATCATCAGACAGACAGAGGAGATTCTGTACTTGCGAAGAACTTAATGATTCATTCATCTTCTGCATCAACAATCATGCTCTAAAAATATGAAAAGTTTGTAATGATTGATCTACCGGTATCCGATATCCATCCATGAAGGGTGCAATTTGTAGCGCTTTCTATTCACTAATTTGAGTTCCGATGGCATCCACAGGGACTGCATTTTTTCAAGAAGGAAATAATTACAACAATACACCAACAGCTGCGAAGAGAAGTATCCTGAAGTTGTGCTCCAAGTTTTTCGTCAAGTCTCTGTTAAGCTCTAGTTTCATAGAGTCTTACGCAGATTCAAGTCATCGTCAGTTTTATTTTTCATTTCTGTCGTTCACTTTTATTTTTTTACCACTTTTAGTTCGGGGTTACAGAGCAGACATATCAGCAGTGACATTAGCCTCAGACGCGATGCAAGACGAATGTCGTGCTCTTTCTCTGCAAAAGCAGGTAGAGTATTTTGGATGGATGTTCTTTACTTCGATTGGGGGCTTACTGCATTTTGCGTATGTTTAGAGTTTGCTCCTTGAACTTAAAAATTATGAAGAGCCGAGGAAAAGTTCCTCTACGAGCGAGTTCAGTATTTCTGACAAAACAGTGGCCAATGTCATTCCGGTAAGCAAAGATCACCCCCCCTTGCACTTGGAAGAGTACTCATCTGCTAATATCTGTCTGCAACGTGTGTATAACCTGCTAGATTCGAAAACTGTAGTAAATGGCTGAATGTGCCAGCCTAAGCGATGTATTTGTACCGACTCATCGCCCCGAGGTCTTACTGACGTCATTATGACAGTCCTGGCTTTATAACGTTTTATAACCTTTTTGGGTATCAATAACTGATGAGCTACATATTACTCTGATCAATGATAACG